AAATTCTAAGTTTTTGGATTTCTTAAGTTTTCAGTTCTTGTATACATATTTCAATTTTTTAATTTTCGATTTTCCAATTTTTCAGTTTTTAACTTTTCCTCTCGCCTTTCGACTCCTGGATTTCTCGATGCTCTGATTTTTCGATTTCTCGATGTCTCGGTTTTTGAATTTTTCGATTTCTCGATTTATCGATTTTTCAGTTTTTCGATTTTTAAATTTTAGATTTTCGAATGTTTATTTCCTGATGTTTGTATTCCTCTATTTTTCGATTCTGCGATATTTTAATTGCTCAATGTTCTAAATTTTTAAAGTTCTCGATTTATTGACTTTTCAGTTCTTCAGTATTTCCATTTTTCAATTTGTCAAATTTTGTCGTTGCTAAATTGTCAGTTTTCCGGTTTCTCATCAATTAATCTATTTTGATTTTTCCATTTCTCGACTTCTCAAAGTTTCGAATTTACTTTTCTGGTTTTTCGATTTCTCAATTTTCAAATTTTTGGATAATTCTTTCAGTTTTGGGATTTTTCCAACTTTTCGATGCTTCGACTTTTAGACTTCTGGATTTTTCCATTTTTTATTTTTAGGATATTCAGTTTACCATTTTTTAAACTTTAGATTTTTCAATTTTTCGACTATTTTATGTTTCGATTTTTCAATTTTTCAATATTTTAATTTTTCGATTTTTAAAATTCTAGATTTTCAAAATTGTAGATTTTTAAAATTCTAGATTTTTCCATTTCTCGACTTCCCAAAGTTTCGATTTTTCGCTTCTTCAATTTTTCGATTTTTCTCATTTTTCCAATTTTTTAATTTCTCAATTTTTGGATATTTCTATCAGTTTTGGGATTTCTCAGTATTTAGATTTTTCGACTTTTCGACCTTTGGACTCCCGAATTTTTTCATTTCTCGATTTTTTACTTTTTGGCTTTTCAGTTTTTCGTTAAACTTTAGATTTCTCAATTTTTCAACTTTTCCATGTTTTAATTTTTCAGTTTTTAAAATTCTACGTTTTTCGATTTCTTGAGTTTTCAGTCCTTCTATATTTCAATTTTTTAATTCTCCAATTTTTCTTTTTCAAAATTTCTCTATTTATCCATTTTTCTCGATGTCTCAGTTTTTGAATTTTTCCATGTTTCGATCTGTGTATTTCTGGGTTATTCGATTTTTCCATTTTTCAATTTTTAAATTTTTGAGTTTCGATTTCTCGATTTATCATCGATTTTTTAGTTTTTCGATTTTCGAGTTTTTATTTTTTGATTTTTTGATGTTTGGATTTCTAAATTTTTAAATTTTGCGATATTTTAATTGTCCAATGTTCTAAATTTCTAGATTTCTCTATTTATTGACTTTTCAATTCTTCAGTATTTCTATTTTTCCATTTTTCAAATTTTGAGGTTGCTAAATTTTCAGTTTCGCGATTCCTCTATTAATCTATTTTTGATTTTCCCATTTCTCGACTTCTAAAAGTTTCGATTTTTTATTTTTGGTTTTTCAATTTCTCAATTTTCGAATTTTTTAATTTCTCAATTTTTGGAAATTTCTTTCAGTTTTGGGATTTTTCGACTTGTTGATTTTTGGACTCCTGGATTTTTTGATTTCTCGATTTTTTACTTTTTGACTTTTAAATTTTACGTTAAACTTTAGATTTTTCAATTTTTCGACTGTTTTATTACTTCGATTTCTTAATTTTTCAACTTTTCCATGTTTAAATTTTCCAGTTTTTAAAATTCTACGTTTTTGGATTTCTTGAATCTTCAGTTCTTCTATACATATTTCAATTATTTGATTTTCGATTTTCCAATTTTTCTTTTCGAAAATTTCTCGATTTATCAATTTTTCAGTTTTTAACTTTTCTTCTCGCCTTTTAACTGTCGATGTCTTAGTTTTTAAATTTTCAATGTTTCGATTTTTGGATTTCTCGGTTTTTCGATTTTTCAATTTTTTTAAATTCTGGAGTTTCGATTTCTCGATTTATCGATTTTTCAATTTTTCGATTTTTAAATTTTGGATTTTCGAATGTTTATCCAATGGACTTCTCAAAGTTTCGATTTTTCGAACTTATTTTTTTGGTTTTTCGATTTCTCAATTTTCCAATTTCTTGATATTTCTTTCAGTTTTGGGATTTTTCAATATTTCGATTCTTCGACTTTTAGACTTCTGGATTTTCCGAATTATTATTTTTTGGATCTTCAGTTTACCATTCTTAACCTTTAGATTTTTCAACTTGTTGATTTTTGGACTCCTGGATTTTTTGAGTTCTCGATTTTTTACTTTTTGGTTCTTCAATTTTTCGTTAAACTTTATTTTTCAACTTTTCCATGTTTTAATTTTTCAGTTTTTAAAATTCTAAGTTTTTCGATTTCTTGAGTTTTCAGTTCTTCTATATTTCAATTTTTTAATTCTCCGAATTTTTTGAATTTTCGATTTTCCAATTTTTCTTTTTCAAAATTTCTCTATTTATCAATTTTTCTCGAAGTTTCAGTTTTTGAATTTTTCCATGTTTCAATCTTTGAATTTGTCGGTTTTTCGATTTTTTACTTTTGTGCATTTCAATTTTTCGATTTTTAAAATTCTAAATTTTTTCATTTCTCGACTTCCCAAAGTTTCGATTGCTTGCTTCTTCGATTTTTCGATTTTTCAGGTTTTTGATTTATCAATTTCTCGATTTTTTTAAGTTTACGATTTTGCAACTTTGATTTTTTGTTTTTCGATTTCTCAATTTTCCAATTTTTTAATTTCGCAATTTTTTGGGTATTTCTATCAGTTTTGGGATTTTTCAATATTTAGATTTTTCGACTTTTCGACCTTTGGACTCCTGTATTTTTTGAGTTCTCGATTTTTTACTTTTTGGCTCTTCAATTTTTCGTTAAACTTTATTTTTCAACTTTTCCATGTTTTAATTTTTCAGTTGTTAAAATTCTAAGTTTTTCGATTTCTTGAGTTTTCAGTTCTTCTAAATTTCAATTTTTTAATACTCCGAATTTTTTGAATTTTCGATTTTCCAATTTTTCTTTTTCAAAATTTCTCTATTTATCAATTTTTCTCGATGTTTCAGTTTTTGAATTTTTCCATGTTTCGGTTTTTGGATTTGTCGGTTTTTCGATTTTTTAATTTTTGAGCTTTTCAATTTTTCAATTTTTTAAATTCTGGAATTTCTATTTTTCAAATTTTGACTTTGCTAAATTTTCAGTTTTCCGATTTCTCAATTAATCTATATATTTTTTATTTTCCCATTTCTCGACTTTTCAAAGTTTCGATTCTTCAATTCTTCGATTTTTCAATTTTTCAATTTTTTAGTTTTTCGATTTCGCAATTTTTTGGATATTTCTATCAGTTTTGTGATTTTTCAATATTTAGATTTTTCGACTTTTCGACCTTTGGCCTCCTTGATTTTTTGATTTCTCGATTTTTTACGTTTTGGCTTTTCAATTTTTCGTCAAACTTTAGATTTTTCAATTTTTCGACTGTTTTATTACTTCGATTTCTCAATTTTTCAACTTTTCCATGTTTTAATTTTTCAGTTTTTAAAATTCTAGGTTTTTCGATTTTTTTGAGTTTTCAGTTCTTCTATACATATTTCAATTTTTTAATTCTCCGAATTTTCAAATTTTCGATTTTCCAATTTTTCTTTTTCAAAATTTCTCTATTTATCAATTTTTCTCGACGTCTCAGTTTTTGAATTTTTCCATGTTTCGATTTTTTACTTTTGCGCTTTTCAATTTTTCGATGTTTCGATTTCAGTTATCCGATTTCTCAATTTTTCAATATTTTAAACTCTGGAATTTCAATTTTTCAAATTTTGACTTTACTAAATTTTCAGTTTTCCGATTTCTTAATTAATCTACATATTTTTGATTTTCCCATTTCTCGACTTCTTAAAGTTTCGATTCTTCAGTTCTTCGATTCTTCGACTTTTCGATTTTCCGATTTTTTATTTTTTGGATTTTGGCCAATTTATATTTTGAAAACAAAATTCAGAAATAAATTGGAAAGTGGAAAATTTAAAAATTCCTTATAAGGGTGCTTTGACTTAAGCCGCTTAAGTCATAAAAGTTCTACGTGAATTTTGCATCCAAACCCCAAATTCCGCCTCCGCCCATGTCCGTGGAAACAGCCAACAATAAGCAAAGTGGTGCAGCGAAAACGTACCATTTCATCCCTAAACCAACTAATTACTTTTTATAGCATCAGCGTGATTAAATTCGCTGTAAAACCCGCCCCATCTGTTCGATGGCCTCGAGCTATCTCTCAAGGCTTGAAAACTCACACGCCAAATAACGACGTTATTCCGAACAATTTTCACAGCCGATATTGAATTTTCCGAGCGGAATTATGAAATAAAACTCAATCCCATCTGTGAAAAGTGCGTCGGAGCGCATCATCGATTTTCTCACCTATAAGTTAATTACGTCTGCTTTTTTGGGTCTTTGAGCTCTCCATTGTTATTATTATTCATGAGTTGACTCGGGAGAGTCGGAAACATCAATATAAATTTGTGGTCGGGGGCTGCCATTAATATGCATTAAAAAGTTTAAAAGAATAAGGCTTGAGAAAACAATTTGGGTAATTCGATTCTTGAGTTGTGAGTGGAGCGACATAAAGGAAGCTCGACGAGTTTTTAATTTTTTAAATGGGCCTTGGGATGGAAATTTTGTTCTAAACAACGCGGCGGCGTTATTAAGAGGGATCGACTATATAATGCATCAACTTTCCCTCAGACAAAAGGAAAATAATTAAAAATTATACAACATTTTATACACGAGGAATGGAGGTCGGAATCGATTTTCAGGGGAGTGAATTGTTTTTGTGAACAATAACGGCTTTGTAACTTAGCTTAGTGTTGCTTTTAGCTGTGTTTTGTTTGAAAACTTGGGTGCGTGTGTGTGACAAATATTATTAGTGGAATGAATAATAGGGTTTCGGGGAAGTAGCTAGGTCGAGCGTCTCTTTCGATGCAATTTTTAGTTTAGTACACGTAAATTTTAAAATAAATGGGACAATTCAGTTATTACGAGTTTATTAAAATTGTAAATTTAATATTCTAGGAAATTTTATAAGCGCTCAAAGTCTTGTATGAAACGACTTCGGCTAACCCGTCCGCAACGTAATAATTAAATATTGAAGTTGCCTTAAGTACTAGTACTTTTATATTTTACAAGAGAAAATGAGTTTGCACTTAACTTCAGCGTCAAAGTTTTAATTTAAATTGTTAAAACGGTTCCCCGTCTGAAAATGAATAGCAGCAAGAATCATCCAACAATTGTAGCTTTAATTTAATAATTAATTATTATTCAAACAGTTTAATTATTCATCTAACAAAATTTGCCCGAGATAATCCTTTGTGTTCCCGTCGTTTCTCTAATTCAATAATTACGATCTCCACGGACTGAAACATTTCCACATTTCCGCAGCACAATAAAAGTAATAAAACTTCAACAAAAGTCGATTGATAAAGCGAACTTAACCGCAGAGAACAGGAATGGGCTGAAACCTTCTCCTTCCTAAATCTCTTTTCTTTATGCGGATTTGCCTTCTTTCTCCGGAGGGATTCATATAATTTGGCAGAATTGTATTCTGTATATTGCGTGTAATTCGTTTGGACACGGATTCTGAGGGAGCTGCCGTAGCACCATCGATTGCGCCTTTCTCGGCTCTTGGGTATGCACAAACGGGGCCCTTCATCTCGCAAACGACGCTCATTAAAATCAACACGAAAACAAAGACCTCGGAGCGAACCTAAAACAAAATCAGCTTCGGTTAAACGCACGACGTAAGGTTTCTTTGTCACCATCTTGAGCGGTTGCTGCTGGGGAAATTGAGGCTCTTGGGCGTTTTATACCGCCGCCAAATTGGGCTAATCAGAAGGAAGGTCAGTTCGGCGTAAACAAGCCAAGGATTTCGCATGAAGGGTCTAATTTGAGAGCGATCACAGAGGCGCCGGGCGAAAGGAGAGCTAATGAGCACTTTTAATTTCACAATGGCCTAGAATTCCACTAAAACGCAAATTATAATGCCACTTGTGGCTGGTGCGTCTCTGAATTCCACCGAAACCGCAGCCAGTATTGCCTACAAATGTAAAAATAATGATAATAGTACTGCGATTAATAATGTTTATTTGTGCTACAAAATTTGAAAATCAAAAAGTTTTCTCACAGAAAACTCGATATGAATTACGAAAAAATCAAACTGGCTTATTCGCACGAAAAAAAGTGCTAAAATATAGAGACTCCGGCGTAAATTACGAATATGTAATAAATAAGAGATATTTTAAAGTCCAAAAAATTTACAAAAAAATATTGAAAGTGGTTTTAATTGGAGGAAAAGATTGCCCACATATAGAGAAATCAACATAGATTTAGAGTTCTTTTGTGATAATTTTTCAAATAATCGAAAATTATCTCAATACAAATTTTAACAGTGGCTGTATTCGAGGATAAAGGTGATCTAATCTAAAATGTATTCGCATAGATTATGAAATTGAAGCGCGTTTATCATTAGTCTTTCAAATAAGAATATGAAAAAATGAGAATTTAATTAAAACAAAAATGTTATGTAGAAAATTCAAGGTAAATTACGAATCTGAACTCTTTTGGGATAAAAAAAACAAACAAATTTTAAAAGTGGCTTTATTCAAGTGGAAGAAATTGTTGTAGTACAGATAATCCAGCATAGATTACGGAATTATAGTTTTTTTTTTGTGATAATATTTTGAATTTTCGAGAAATATGAGAATTTAATTTCAAATAAAAAAATCCAAGTCAAAGAAAATGTTAAAATTGGCATTATTCTCGCAAAAAAGTGCTAAATTATAGAAAATGCAACATGGAATATGAATTTTTTTAAAGCCTCTCATTCTCTTCGTCCATTATCGTCCTTTCTCGCCCTTTTCGTCCTTTTCGTCTTTTTTCATTTTTCGTCTCTTCGTTCTTTTTCGTCCTTTTTCGCCTTTTTCGTCAGTTTCGTATTTCACGGCCATTTTCGTCCTTCTGTTTTCTTTTTCGTCCTTATTCGTCCTTTTTCGTATTTATCGCCCTTTTCGTACTTTTTCGTCCTTTTCGTCCTTTTCGTCTTTTTTCATCCTTTCGTGCTTTTCGTCCTTTTGTCTTTTTTCATTCTCTTCGTCCTTTTCTTCCGTTTCGTTCTTGTTCGTCCTTTCCGTACTATTTCGTCCTTTTTCGTCCTTGCTGTAATTTTGGGTCCTTCTTCGTCTTTCTTCGTCCTTTTCGTCCTTTTGAGTTCTTTTTCGTCCTATTCGTCATTTTCGTATTTTTCGTGCTTTTCGTCCTATATCGTCTTTTTCGTCCTTTTTCGTCCGTTTTAGTCCTTTTGTGTCCCTATTGGTCCTTTTCGTCCTTTTCGTCCCTTTTCCTCCTTTTTCATCCTTTTCGTCCTCTTCGTCCTTTTTCATTCTTTCTCCTCCTTTTCGTCCTTTTCGTCGTTTTTCGTCTTTTTCGTTATTTTCCTATTTTTCGTCCTTTTTCGTTCTTTTCGTATTTTTCGTCCTTTTAGTCCTTTATCGTCATTTTTAGTTATTATTCGTCCTTTTTCGTATTTTTCGGCCTCTTCGTCTTTTTTCGTCCTATTCATCATTTTCGTATTTTTCGGCTTTTTTCATTTTGTTCATTCCTTTCGTCCTTTTTCGTCCTTTTTTGTCCTTTTTGGTTGTTTTGTACTTTATCGTTCTTGTTCGTCCTTTCATCCTTTGTTGTTCTTTTGGTCCTTTTTGTCCTTTTGGTCCTTCTTCATCCTATTCGTCATTTTCGTATTTTTCGTCCTTTTCGTCCTTTTCGTCTTTTTTCATCCTTATCGTCCTTTTCGTCCTTTTTCGTCCTTATTCGTCCTTTTAGTCCTTTTTCATCCTTTTGGTCCTTTTCACCCTTGTTCATTCTTTGTCGTCCTTGTTTGTCCTTTTTCGTTTTTTTCGTCCTTTTTCGTCTTTTTCGTCCTTTTTGATTCTTCTTCGTCCTTTTCGTCCTTTTCGTTCTTCTTCGTCCATTTCGTCCTTTTTCGTCCTTCTCGTTCTTTTCGTCCTCTTCATATTTTTCGTCCTTATTCGTCTTTTTAGTCCTTTTTCGTTCCCTTCGTCCTATTTCGTCTTTTTCGTCTTTTCTTCATTCTTCTTCGTCCTTTTCGTTCTTCTTCGTCCTTTTCGTTCTTCTTCGTCCATTTCGTCCTTTTTCGTTCTTTTCGTCCTTTTCGTTCTGTTCGTATTTTGCGTCCTTTTAGTCCTTTATGGTCCTTCTTCGTCATTATTCGTCCTTTTTCGTCCTATTCGTCATTTTCGAATTTTTCGTCCTTTTCGTCTTTTTCGGCTTTTTTCATTCTTGTCGTCCTTTACGTCCTTTTTGTCCTTTATCGTCCCTTTTCGTCCTTTTTTTGTTCTTTTTGGTCCTTTTGTCCTTTGTCGTCCTTTTTCGTCCTTTCATCCTTTGTCGTCCTTTTTCGTCTTTGTTCGTCCTTTTCATCCTTGTCGTCATTTTCTTCCTTTTTCGTCTTTTTCGTCCATTTCGTCCTTTTTCGTCCTTTTCGTCCTTTATCGTTCTTTTTCGTCCTTTTTTTGATCTTTTTGGTCTTTTTATCCATTGTCGTCCTTTTTCGTCCTTTCATCCTTTGTCGTCCTTTTTCCTCCTTGTTCGTCCTTTTCGTCCTTTTCGTCATTTTCGTCCTTCGTCCTTTTTCGTCTTTTTCGTCCATTTCGTCCTTTTTCGTCTTTTTCGTCCTTGTTCGTCTTTTTCGTCCTCTTCGTCCTTTTTTGTCCTATTCGTCATTTTCGAATTTTTCGTCCTTTTCGTCTTTTTTCATTCTTGTTATCCTTTTTGTCCTTTATCATCCTTTTTCGTCCTTTTTTTGTTCTGTTTGGTCCTTTGGTCCTTTGTCGTCCTTTTTCGTCCTTTCATCCTTTGTCGTCCTTTTTCGTCCTTGTTCGTCCTTTTCGTCCTTTTTCGCCCTTTCTCGTCCTTTCCCGTCTTTTTTTGTCCTTTTTCGTCCTTTTCGTCCTTGTCGTCCTTTTCGTATTTTTCGTAATTTTTGTCCTTCCTTTTCGTCATTTATTGTCCTTATTCGTCCTTTTTCGTATTTTTCGTCCTCTTCGTCCTTTTTCGTCCTATTCGTCATTTTTGAATGTTTCGTCCTTTTCGTCCCTTTCGTCCTTTATCGTCCTTTTTCGTCCTTATCTTGTCCTTTTTGGCGCTTTTGTCCTTTGTCGTCCTTCTTCGTCCTTCTTCGTCCTTTTCGACCTTTTGAGTCCTTTTTCGTCCTAATCGTCATTTTCGTATTTTTCGTCCTTTTCGTCCTTTATCGTCTTTTTTCGTCCTTTATTTTTCCTTTGTGGTCCTTTTGTCTCTCGTCGTCGTTTTTCGTCCTTTTTCGTCCTTTATTTTTCCTTTTTGGTCCTTTTGTCCCGTGTCATCGTTTTTCGTCCTTTCATCCTTGGTCGTCCATTTCGTCCTTTTTCGTCCTTTTCGTCCTTTTTCATTCTATTTCGTCCTTTTTCGTCCATTTCCTTCTTCTTCGTCCTTTTCGTCCTTCTTCGTCCTTTTCGTCCTTCGTCCTTTTCGTCATTTTCGAATTTTTCGTCCTTTTTCGTCCTTAGCGTCTTTTTCGTCATTTACGTTCTTTTCGGCCATTTCGTCCTTTTCGTCTTTTTCGTTCTCATTCGTCTTTTTGCGCCCTTTTTCGTCCTTATTCGTCCTTCTTCGTCCTTTTCGTCCTTCTCGTTCTTTTCGTCTTTTTCATCCTTTTGTCCCTTTGCGTGCTTTTTCGTCCTTTTTTGTATTTGTCGTCCAACTCGTTCTTTTTCGTCCTTTCGTCATTTTCATATTTTTCGTTCTTTTCGTCTTTTTTCATCCTTTGCTTCCTTTTCGTCCTTTTGGGTGATCCGTTGCTTCCGAGGCATTGTTAAAGTGTGATCACTAAAACTCATGGGTTCTTTTTCGTCCTTTTCGTCCTTCTTCGTCCTTCTTCGTCCTTTTCATCCTATTGCGTCCTTTTTCGTCCTTTTCGTTATTTTTCGTCCTTTTTCGTATTTTCGTTCTTTTCGTCCTTTTTCGCCCTTCTCCGTCTTTTTTCGTCCTTTTCGTCCTTCTTCGTCCTTTTCGTCCTTATTCGCTCTTTTTTGTATTTATTGTCCTTATCGTCCTTTTGCGTCCTTTTTCGTCCTTAGTCGTCCTTTTTTGTATTTGTCGTTCTTTTCGTTCTTTTTCGTCCTATTCATCATTTTCGTATTTTTCGTCCTTTATCGTTCTTTTCGTCCTTCTCGCCCTTTTTCGTGCTTTTCGTCCTTTTCGTCTTTTTTCATCCTTTTCGTCATTTTCGTCCTCTTTCGTCCTTTTGCGTCCTTTCCGTGTTTTTTCGTCCTCTATCGTCCTTTTTCGTCCTTTTCGTCCTCTCCGTTGTGGTAATCTTTGAAATATTCGAAAATCAAATTCTAATTCCAAACATTTTTCGAAAAGCAAATTTTGACAGTGGCCCTATTCGAAGATCTACAAAAATCAAGATAGATTACGAAATTGAAGAACGATTTTCATTAATCTTTCAAATAAGAATATGAAAAATTGTGAATTTATTTAAAAAAAAATCAAAAATTTCCAAGTAAATCCTAGAATTCGCGTTATTCGAGTGAAAAAAGTGCTGTCAAGCATTTAAAAAAATTGGGAGAATCACAAGATAATTTTGAAAAATTTCCAAAAAAAATTTTGAAAGATGATACGTTTAAAAAGTTCGACGTGGATTGCGAAATCAAAACTCGTTTAAATAATCTGTTAATTAATAGAAAAAAAATGAGAATTAGATTTCAAAAAATTCTCGTAAGTGAGGAAAAAGTGCCAAAAGTGGTTAAAG